CAACACTTGGTCAGCACCTCACAAGGAACATTCATGCTATGTTTGGTTTCATTCCATTCAGTGGTTCTTTAAAAGAAGACATTTGTATGTATTTCCCATAGGGTCCTTTGTTAAACTAAGCTCCCCGCTGGCGGCCATCTTGGATGATGGATCGGCTACAAAGTAATAACACTTGGTCAGCACCTCATAAGGAACAGTCATACCATATTTGGTTCCATTCCATTCAGTGGTTCTCTAGAAGAAGTTCAAAATGTAAAAAGTTAACGACGACGACGACGACGGACGACGGACGCCAAGTGATTAAAGTAGCTCACTTGGCATTTCGGGCCAGGTGAGCTAAAAAAGCAGTTACAAAAATGTATAAAACTAGAGGCTCTAAAGAGCCTGTGTCGCTCACCTTGGTCTATGTGCATATTAAACAAAGGACACAGATGGATTCATGACAAAATTGTGTTTTGGTGATGGTGATGTGTTTGTAGATCTTACTTTACTGAAACATTCTTGCTGCTTACAATTATCTCCATCTATAATGAACTTGGCCCAGTAGTTACAGTGGAAATTTTTTGTAAAAATTTACAAAAATTTACAAAATTTATGAAAACTGTTAAAAATTGACTATAAAGGGCAATAAATCCTTAAGGGGTCAACTGACCATTTTGGTCATTTGACTTATTTGTAGGTCTTACTTTGCTGTAGATTGCTGTTTACAGTTTATCTCTATCTATAATAATATTCAAGATAACCAAAAGCTGCAAAATTTTCTTAAAATTACCAATTCAGGGGCAGCAACCCAACAACGGGTTGCCTGATTGGTCTGAAAATTTCAGGGCAGATAGATTTTGACCTAATGAACAATTTTATCCGGTCAGATTTAAATGCTTTGGTTTTAGAGATATGAGCCAAAAACTGCATTTTACCCTATGTACAGTATTTTTAGCCATGTCGGCCATCTTGGTTCGCGAGTGGGGTCAATAGACACATTTTTTAAACTAGATACCCAAATGATGATTGTGGACAAGTTTGGTTAAATTTGTCTTAGTAATTTCAGAGGAGAAGATTTTTATAAAAGATTACAAAAATTTACGAAAAATTGTTAAAAATTGACTATAAAGGGCAATAACTCTTTAAGGGGTCAACTGACCATTTTGGTCATTTGACTTATTTGTAGATCTTACTTTGCTGAACATTATTGCTGTTTACAGTTTATCTCTATCTATAATAATATTCAAGATAATAAACAAAAACGGCAAAATTTCCTTAAAATTACTTGTTCAGGGGCAGCAACCCAACAACGGGTTGCCTGATTGGTCTGAAAATTTCAGGGCAGATAGATCTTGACCTGATAAACAATTTTACCCCCATGTCAGATTTGCTCTAAATGCTTTGGTTTCAGAGATATAAGCCAAAATCTACATTTTACCCCTATGTTCTATTTTCAGCCATGGCGGCCATCTTGGTTGGTTGGCCGGGACAACGGACACATTTTTTAAATTAGATACCCTAATGGTGATATAGGCCAAGTTTGATTAAATTTGGCCCAGTAGTTTCAGAGGAGAAGATTTTTGACGGACGACGACGACGGACGACGACGGACGACGGACGACGGACGCCAAGTGATGAGAAAATCTCACTTGGCCCTTTGGGCCAGGTGAGCTAAAAAAGCAGTTATGTACATTTCTATTAGTTGATGCACAGTTTTCCATTTAAGGCGGAATTTTGACGAACTTTCATAAAACGTTTGTTTCTCGTTATTAAATAAAGTTATACTTTCTTATTAAATAACTCTCTCCATTACTTTATACCACCCAGCTTGTAACATATATCGGACATAAATCGGAAAGTAGATGCTGAATCCACCTTTTTTCCAATAACATTTGCAATAATACAATTATAACAAAAAATACATTCTTCAAGTGATTTATTAAAAAAATATTGAATTAAAGCATTGGTAGAGTTTTTGAATAGCATTAACAATTTAATTCAATAATATAGAAAATGTATCATAGATATATCGTTTCATGTCTGTGTGAGAAATATGGAAGAGAACAGTTTTTCATTTCTAATTTGGAAATAACACAAAATATATGTGCATGTTAGAAGATAACATTTCTCGTCTTCATTACACACGGTATCATCAATCGAATAATCATTTATACAGATTTGTAGTAGTGGAATATATACAAGCACCTCTATTTGATAAATGAGCATTTTCATGTTTTTTCACTAAGTTTTTGGGATTTAAAACATCGTCATATAATTATTTTATATTCAGATCCATGAAATCCAATACATTTTGTCATATTAAAAGTGTAAAATTAAATAAAACAAAAATTGTTGACGTACAATAAAGTGTGATGTGCTATATAGAATTGCCACGTGTTCAACACTAAAATCTTGTGTGCGTATGTCAATTAACAATTCTATAACTTGGGTAGGAGTGATTGACCAAAAATAGATATGTTAGAAGATAACATTTCTCGTCTTCATTACACACGGTATCATCAATCGAATTATCATTTATACAGATTTGTAGTAGTGAAATATATACAAGTACCTCTATTTGATAAATGAGCATTTCCATGTTTTTTTCACTAAGTTTTTGGAATTTCAAACATCGTCATATAATTATTTTATATTCAGATCCATGAAATCAAATACATTTTGTTATATTAAAAGTGTAAAATTAAATAAAACAAAAATTGTTGACGATAAAGTGCTATATAGAATTGCCACGTGTTCAACACTAAAATCTTGTGTGCGTATGTCAATTAACAATTCTATCAGGCGGAAACCCAGTTGAAATAGAACAAAAGAATCGAAGCTCTTTGTTAGAGAAGGTGATAAATGCTTACTGTAATGTTTACTGTAGTAACACAAATTTTAAAAGTTAATAGAAACAAATAAAATGACAGTTTTTTGTTAAATTACGAAATATTTTATCATAAAAACACAATTTGCATAAGTTTTCAATTTATCTATTACATAATTAAGCAGAACAATTAGATATCAAGTCGACGACATGGGTGTCTATTAAGTTGGATCTAAAAAATGCATAACCTCCGATTTTTCAAACAAATTTACCACGGACGGAGAACATATCAATCTATTTGTTCCTTAATTTTCGTTTCTGCCCTTCCATTATGTGACTCAAGAAAAAATTCCATAAAATGGGTAACAATTGCATCGAAAAGAGAAAATCGAGTGCACCTTTTTATGTTAGGGCGTGTTTGAGTTGAATATTTTGTCTTGAAAACGTTAAAAGCAAAAGTATTTGATACATCATCTCGCTTCAGATTCTATCATTTTTATATATCAAGGCTACAGGTTGACTTTATAAAATCGAAAATTCACAGTACTAAAAAATGAAATATATAGGTCAAGTGAAATACCTTTCTAATGAATCATAAAAGCAGAATAGGTGTGTTCGAATAGCAATTATTTACTAAAAGTACTTGACGACAGACTTTTAAGTTGGATCTTAAAAATGCATATCTTTGAAAAAACTTCATTTTTTGTGTGTGATATCTAGGGTTTATAGTCTTCAACCACTGAAAATTTTTAGTCTGCCCTTCCACGAAATATTGAATTAGAATTTTTTTAAATGTTTATGAATTTTCGAAAATTCCACCTGACAACCGATCAGACAATAGTTTTAAGTTGACTGAATGCAGACAAGTACATTAACTGATGCTCGTTAGCTAGTAGATACATTTGTCTTTTAAAATACAACTGGCATATAAGGATCGTAATGGTGCTATGCGGATAAATTTATCGGTTTTCAAGAGCTAAATTGGCAGCGCGTCATCCCTGCAATGGCTTCCATTTTTACGATTGTAAAAATGAACTGGCGTAATGGGGAGATAATTTTGACGAAGTAGAATCCTGACTGCTATAACTTAGGTGGGAGTGATTGACAAAAAATAGATATATGGGAGGCGTAAGCAATCCACATTACGTTTTAACAGGCTAAGCGATAAACTTTGTCCATCAATCACTTACTCATTTAAGATAATAATTTATTTGTGCATATATAGACGATAAATTAGAATTGATGAAGCAATAAAAATAGCGGTTAACCGATAAAAATAGCGATTAACCGATAAAATTAGCGGTTAACCGGTAAAACTAGCGGTTAACCGGCATATTTATAGCGGTTAACCGACATAAAAGTAGCGGTTAACCGATAAAAATAACGGTTAACCGATAAAAGTAGCGGTTAATCGATAAAAATACCTTTTGAACCAAATGGTACACCATAGTTTGTAGACGAAAAGCACGTCTGGCGTACAAAATTTTAATCCTAGTATCTATGATGAGTTTATTTGTTTATCATAACAAAACGAACACTTTGAATTCTTAAATACTTACTAAGATTAAACTGAAACAACTAAAAATGTGTCTGTTATTCTATCATGATCAAAGGAAAAGGATATTTTGTTTGCTAGCGTATTAGGAAAAGGAAAACAGGTCTTAAAAGGACATTAGTTACGAAGTTTACAAAATATGTTTCTTTTTTTGGCTTTAAACATTTAAACATAGATTCTAGGTACTGACGTTGTTTATCATCTTAAGTACGTGTTATAGTGTTATTTTTATTTGTCTTTGTCAAGGTATCAAATTCAAAAAGTTTTACGAGGTCGACGAAAACACTGACGCAGAGAAATGTATATTAATGGCTTGATGGTTTATGTATTTGGGAACCAGATACATGCTTCGACGAAGACATTTCCGATTACATTAATAGTAGATGGACAAAACGAGGAAAATGCAGGAAATCCTAATTCAATTGATACATGTAAACTCGTTTTCTATTTATTTAGTTCTTTTGTTTGAACTCTGACCCCCTTATTTTATTCCCCATTTTGATCATGTTTTAGTTCATTTATTGAATATATATAAGTCTCTACTTGAATTCAGTATTCAAACGTGAATATGACACAGAAAATGCATGTAAAAGTAGTATACATCAGTATCACCACCTTGTTCATAGAAGGTACATCAGTATCACCACCTTGTTCATAGAAGGATACATCAGTATTACCATCTTGTTCATAGAAGGATACATCAGTATCACCACCTTGTTCATATAGAAGGATACATCAGTATCACCACCTTGTTCATAGAAGGATACCTCAGTATCACCATCTTGTTCATAGAAGGATACATCAGTATCACCACCTTGTTCATAGAAGGATACATCAGTATCACCACCTTGTTCATAGAAGGATACATCAGTATCACCACCTTGTTCATAGAAGGATACATTAGTATCACCACCTTGTTCATAGAAGGATACATCAGTATCACCACCTTGTTCATAGAAGGATACATCAGTATCATTATCTTGTTCATATAGAAGGATACCTCAGTATCACCATCTTGTTCATAGAAGGATACATCAGTATCACCACCTTGTTCATAGAAGGATACATCAGTATCACCACCTTGTTCATAGAAGGATACATTAGTATCACCACCTTGTTCATAGAAGGATACATCAGTATCACCACCTTGTTCATAGAAGGATACATCAGTATCATTATCTTGTTCATATAGAAGGATACCTCAGTATCACCATCTTGTTCATAGAAGGATACCTCAGTATCACCATCTTGTTCATAGAAGGATACATCAGTATCACCACCTTGTTCATAGAAGGATACATCAGTATCACCACCTTGTTCATAGAAGGATACATCAGTATCACCACCTTGTTCATAGAAGGATACATCAGTATCATTATCTTGTTCATAGAAGGATACATCAGTATCACCACCTTGTTCATAGAAGGATACATCAGTATCACCACCTTGTTCATAGAAGGATACATCAGTATCATTATCTTGTTCATATAGAAGGATACATCAGTATCACCACCTTGTTTATAAAATGAAGGATACTTCAGTATCACCCCACCCCTTTTGAAAGTGTATGAAAAAAAATTGTCACAACATAAAACAGTATTGAAAAATTATGAAATTAATTCAAAGGAATTTACACCATGACATATACATCCCGCCATTGCTTTATTGTGCTATGGTCATTTTTTGTATTCCTGTCTTTCACTTTTGCTTATGTACTTTGTCTATAGAGTGTCTATATGCCATGTTGTTTTTCTTTGTTGAAATAGTTATTTGTTTTTATAGCGATTAAGATTGTAACACAATGTTGACTGCTTTACCCCTATTTTTGACAATTTCACCTATTATGTATGTTTGTTTGCTCACACATTGTTGTCAATATAAAGGAAGTTTATGCGACTGTCATAAAAGTGAGATGTTTAGCTAGCTATAAAACCAGGTTTAATCCACCTTTTTCTACATAAGGAAATGCCTGTACCAAGTCAGGAATATGACAGTTGTTTTCCATTCGTTTGATGTGTTTGATCTTTTGATTTAGCCATTTGATAAAGTACTTTCCGTTTTGAATTTTTCTTGAAGTTCAATATTTTTGCTATTTTACTTTTTTTTTATGAAAGCGAAATTGTGAAATAATATTGCGGTATAAGCAGTCGGTTCAATTTTGTCAAAATAAGCTCAAAACATCTGTATTGTTGGCTTGCAAGTCAATAATTCCACTCATTTATATTTATATGCATGCGAACTTCAATGTAACCCTTAACTGGGATGGGTTACGTATGTGCTTAGCAACTTAAGTTATTAAAAAGAAAAGAATGTCACAATTGAAAAGTGAAATAAGGTAACCACCATGAAGGACCATTTCGTTGACTTATTCTGCCCACAAAAACCATTCTAGTACAGATAAAACAATGATTCACATATTTGTTTTAATCTATGACATGAAATCAAACAGACCTAGTCAAATCGTCATCATACCGATTACACGTGCTTGTCTGTGTATTTATATTTATGTTTGATTTAAACAGATTAAATTACCGGATATTACCTCGATGGTTAATTAGGTTGAGTCTAGTCTAAAATACACACAATATGTTGACACATTATTACGAGTCTATGCATTGTAACTTGTTTTTTTTAGGACTTTTTGTAATTTGTATAGACGCTTCAGCATGTTATAAATAAAATATGAGAATTTTAGTCGAATCGGTGAACATGAATTTGACAGCTTATGCCCCTTTAAACATGAAATAGATCTCTTAAGAAAACAATATGTCAAGTTATAAATCGCCCTGCTTATAAAAGATGTAAAGCGTAAAATTCAGTAGTGGTAATCAAAGATTTGTTATAAACACCAATGTTACAAACTGAATAAAACATAAAGATATGATAAAACACAATCACTGACGATACTCATGACAGATACATTAACATGTAGCAGGCTTAAACTAGTTTTTATCTGGTCTAGACCCTCACCTTTAAATCTCGAGCACTAGACAAGCTAATTAAAAGAACAAACAGGTTAAGGGGAGTGTTGGCGCCTTCAAACTAATTTAACCCCGCCACATTCTGTATGTGCCTGTTCAAGGTCAGAAGCCTGTAATTCAGTGGTTGTCGTTTGTTGCTGTATATCATATTTGTTTTTCTTTCATTAGTTTGCACATAAATCAGGCCGTTAGTTTTCTCTTTTGAATTGTTTTACATTTGTCATTTCGGGGCCTTTTATAGCTGACTATGCGGTATGGGTTTTGCTCATCGTTGAAAGCCGTACGTTAACTTATAGTTGTTAATTTCTTTGTCATTTGGTCTCTTGAGGAGAGTTGTCTCATTTGCAGTCATACCACATCTTCTTATTTCTATAAACAATAAAAAGCAGTCAAGAAAATGAAGTTAATTCTTAAGTACGGTATAAAAAGTAACAAATAATTGAATTAATAATGAACAATACTGTATCAAAGTTGGAGTTATTGAAAAGCAAGATAAATTTATCTAATCGCTATTTTGAACTAAAAATCAATATTCACTTTAATTTTGCTGTCTGTACTTCAGAGAATATTCCATGTAGCAATTTGATATAAAAGAATACGATATTGTGCAAAGCCAACACCGAACTTGCATAAAATTGCAATTCAAAGACAATTAATAGATAAGTTATTTTAACTGTAGACTTTTGCACTCTAAAGGACCTTTAATCACAGTCAACGATACCCATTTCTACTTTAAACCGCGGTTGGTTTTACTATGTTTACTACCAATAAAATTGAGAATGGAAATGGGGAACAACCCGACCATAGAACAGACAACAGCAAAAGGTCACCAACAGGTCTTCAATGCAGCGAGAAATTCCCGCACCCGGAGGCGTCCTTCAACTGGCCCCTAAACAAATATATATACTAGTTCAGTGATAATGAACACCATACTAAACTCCAAATTGTACACAAGAAACTAAAATTAAAAATAATACAAGACTAACAAAGGCTAGAGGATCCTGACTTGGGACAGGCGCAAAAATGCGGCGGGGTTAAACATGTTTATGAGATCTCAACCCTCCCCCTATACCTCTAGCCAATGTAGAAAAGTAAACGCATAACAATACGCACATTCAAATTCAGTTCAAGAGAAGTCCGAGTCTGATGTCAGAAGATGTAACCAAAGAAAATAAACAAAATGACAATAATACATAAATAACAACAGACTATTAGCAGTTAACTGACATGCCAGCTCCAGACTTCAATTAAACTGATTGAAAGATTATGTCTTCATCATATGAATATCAGGCACAATCCTTCCCGTTAGGGGTTTAGTATCATACCATCATAACATATATGAGAAGAACATAACCCGTGTCATGCCAACAACTGGTTTTTAAATAAATGTGTTTAGTGCCGATGCAAAGACCCTATAAGTGAATCAATATTAACGCCAAAATATGCAATCTTTAATGACCTGACAACAGTATCGTAACTATATCCCTTCTTAATAAGTCTATTTAAAGGTTTTGTTATCTTCAGAGGTGAATACTGACATTTTTGTGCTTTATAAAGAATATTTCCATAAAAAATTTGATGTGAAATACCTGAACGTATAAGAAGTCTGCATGTTGAGCTATATTTACGAATGATGTCCTTATACCGATGATAAAATTTAGTAAATGTTTTGACTAGTTTGTGATATCGAAAACCCTGGTGTAATAATTTTTCAGTAATACATAAATTTCTCTCGTTAAAATCTAAAACATTGTTACATACACGAGCGAATCGTACAAGTTGAGATATATAAACACCGTAAGATGGTGACAAGGGAATGTCACCATCTAAAAATGGATAATTAACGATAGGAAATGAAAAATCATCTCTTTTATCATATATTTTAGTATTAAGCTTTCCATTAATGATATAGATATCAAGATCGAGGAAAGGGCAGTGGTCATTGTTAGTATTAGCTTTATTTAAAGTAAGTTCAACAGGATAAATTTCTTTAGTATACATACTGAAGTCGTCATTATTGAGAGCCAAAATATCATCCAAATATCTAAAAGTATTATTAAATTTGTGTATCAGATGTTGTTTCGATGGGTCTTTGCTGATTTTTGTCATAAATTGTAACTCATAGCAATACAAAAAAAAGGTCCACAGTAAGTGGTGCACAGTTAGTCCCCATTGGAATTCCGATAACCTGACGATATACGGAATCTCCAAAGCGAACAAAAATGTTATCTAGTAAAAATTCAAGGGCATATATAGTATCAAAGCATGTCCAATTGACATAGTTTTTTTGCTACTAAAAAATGACCTAAAAGAGTTTGAACATATATATTCACATTCTGACTTTTTAAATGCCCATTTAATTAGGTGTGTGAATTTTTTCTTAATGAGAATGTGAGGCAATGTGGTATATAGGGTAGAAAAATCAAAACTTTGAACAGATTCAAAATCACCAAAACTGTTTCACACTATACATGTATATTATTTATACCGAAGCGCTTTACTGGATTAACCTTCATCAGGAACACTCAAACACTAAAAACAGAAAAGCTAAGTATGTATAAACCCTTGAATACAGTCGGAGCTTTACGACTACAAGGAAGACCTCAAAAGAATAGCCAAAATACATCTAAGCGAACTTTAGCTGTAGGAGTTTGAAACATCATCATCAGGGAATTGAAAAAAAGTATTTATAAAGGAGATATAGGGAAACGCCAACAAGATCACAAAAGAAATCTGTGTTATTGATGATGTCCTGTAACTCAGTAATTCACATGTTTACAGATAAGACGACCTCAAAAAAAGATCTATGTCATTCTTGAGCATTTCATTTCCCCTTTGTCGACTTTCGATTTTTCAGTTCTAAAAAAGCCATCTGTCCATCGTATATATATATACATATATATAGTGTTTTATATTTTAATTGATACAGTTCGCTCGTACATATTCACACTATCCAGACCTCATTAACAGGACAAGTTCGCCAGATCCTTTTCGTCATCATAAAACTCATTAGTGAAGCTAGAATCAAAACTCTGAACGCCAAATCAAATACGAAGTTGCGGAACATTAAAACAGTCAATTCCAAAAAGTTGTTCCAAATACGACTAATGCAATCTATTCCTGGGGGTAGACAAACTTTAGTTTTTTTATTATTTCAACGTTTCATAAACAGTATACAGTATATGTAGCTTTCAAATATTCGACTTAGAGCGTTTTTGATGAAGGTGAATCCAGAAAAGCGCTTTGAACGTATGCAATTTATAAAGTGTTGTTTTCATTTTTTTTACAGCACTCAGTCGATTCCGCTGCTAGTGGTATATCCGTCCCGAGGGTACCATCAGCTCAGTAGTCAGTACTTAGTTACTGACATGATTTATTAAAGAAAAATTTCTTAAATTGTCCGTTTATGAATTTAGAAATCATAAAGAAACAAAGGTTTCAATTCCCTCAGGCAAAGATTACCTTAGATGGATTTGACAATTATTTATTTTGTGGCCCTTTTTGGTCTTCAA